CAGCAAAAGAAACAGTCAACAAAACCAAAAGACAACCGACAGAATGGGAGAAGATATTTGCAAATGACATATCAGATAAAGGACTAGTATTTAAAATCTACAAAGAACTTATCAAACTCAACACACAAAGAACAAATAATCCAATCAAGAAATGGGCAGAAGACATGAACAGACATTTCTCCAAGGAAGACATCCAAATGGCTAACAGAGACATGAAAAAAATGCTCAACATCACTTGGCAACAGGGAAATACAAATCAAACCCACAATGAGATACCACCTCATATCAGTCAGAATGGCTAAAATTAACAAGTTAGGAAATGACAGATGTTGGCGAGGATGCAGAGAAAGGGGAACCCTCCTACACTGTTGGTGGGAAGGCAAGCTGGTGCAGCCACTCTGGAAAACAGTATGGAGGTTCCTCAAAAAGTTGAAAATAGAGCTGCCCTGGGACCCAGCAATTGAACTACTAGGTATCTACCCAAAAGATACAAATGTAATGATCCAAAGGGATACCTACACCCCAAAGTTTATAGCAGCAAAGCCCACAATAGGTAAACTGTGGAAAGAGCTGAGATGTCCATCAACAGAGGAATGGATAAAGAAGATATGGTATATACATATACAATGGAATATTACTCAGCCATCAGAAAGGATGCTTACCATTTACATCGACATGGATGGGACTAGAGGGTACTATGCTAAGTGAAAAAAGTCAATCAGAACAAGACAATTACCATATGATTTCACTCATGTGGAATTTAAAAAGGAAAACAGAGGTACATAGGTGAAGGGAGGGTAAAATAAAACAAGATGAAATCACAGAGGGTGGGACACACCTGGGTGGTTCAGTCAGTTAAGTGTCTGCCTTCCGCTCCGGTCATGATCCCAGGGTCCTGGGATCAAGTCCCATATCGGGTTCCGTGCTCAGTGAGGAGCCCGCTTCTCCCTCTGCCCGCCACTCTCCCTGCTTGTGCACGTGCTCTCACTCTGACAAATAAATAAAATCTTAAAAGAAAAAAAATAAATAAATCTACAGAGCAAAGCAATCCATAAGAAACTCTTAATCACAGGAAACAAACCGAGGGATGCCGGAGGGGAGAGGGCTGGGGGGATGAGGTAACTCGGTGATGGACATTAAGGAGGGTGCAGGATGTAATGAGCACTAGGTGTTACATAAGACTGATGAATCACTGAACTCCACCTCTGAAACTAGTAATACCCTATGTTAATTGAATTTAAATAAAAATTATTAAAAATCCCTCCACTGTTCAAGCCAAAAAAAATTCCTATAGCATTTTTCATAGTAATAAAAGAAACAATCCTCGAATTTGTATGGAACCACAAAAGACTCCTGGATAGACAAAGCAAAGATAACAAAGAAAAGCAAAACTGGAGCCATCATATTTACTGATTTCAAACTATACACGAAGCTATACTAATTATACAGTATGATCCTGGCATAAAAATAGGGACTTAGATCAACAGAACAAAAGAGAGTACTTAGAATTAAACCCCCATATATACAGTCAATTAGTAAAGGATAAGGGAGCAAAGAATATTAATATTAAATGGGGAAAGGATACTCTTCAACAAATGATGCTGGGAAAACTGGATAACCACATGCAGAAAAAGAAAACTGGACTCTTACACCACCTAGAAATGGATCAGAATTAAACATTTGGATAGGACACCCAAAGCACAAGTAAGAAAAAATTAACAAGTGGGACTACATCAAACCTGAAAGCTTCTACACTGCAAAAGGAACAATTAAGAAAACGAAAAGGCAAATAAATTATTTGTAAACCATTTAACAGATAATGAGTTAATATCCAAAATATACACAGAATTCCTATAACTCAATAATGAAAAAATCCCCACAAATTATCCAATTAAAAAATGAGCAGAGGAACTTAACAGGCACTTTTCCAAAGAAGACTTGTCACTGTTGGCATGAAAGGTGCTCAACATCATTAACCACCAGGGAAATACAAATCAAAACCACAGTGAAACAGCCTTTCATACCTGTTATAACAGGTATTATCAAGAAAACAAGAGATAGTAAGTGTTGGCAAGGATGTAGAGAAAAGAGACACCTTGCACACTTTTGGGTGGAATCTAAATTGGTTCAGCCACTATGGAGAAGAGTATAAAGCTCCCCCCCCCCAAAAATTAAAAATAGAACTACTGTATAATCCAGCAGTCACAACTCTGGGTATAAATCCAAAGGAAATGAAATGTTATCAAAGAGATATTTGTATTCCTGTGTAACTGCAACATTACACGACAGCCAAAATGTGTCCATCAATGAGTGAATGGACAAAGACATGGTGATAAATATAGATAAATAGATGGATAGATATAGATGCACTCGCATGCGTACACACACACACATATATGTAAATACATATAAAGTGTGATATATATACATATACATATATAAAATGGAATACTATTTGGCCAGAAGTAGTGAAATCCTGCCATTTGCAGCAACATGGATGTATCTTGAGGACATTATGCTAAGAAGACATAGACAAATACTGTCAGATGGCTTATATGAAATGTAAACAAAACAAAGAAATAGAGTGAAATGGTGGTTACCAGGGGCTCAGGAGTGGGGACATGGAAGAGAGGTTGTTTAAGGTACACACTTGCAACTAGTACATAAATCAGATGTGGAGATCTCATACACAGTACAGTGATTATAGACAAAAAGGCTATTAAAAACAGTCAACTTGCTAGGAGACTAGATCTTTATTTTTTCCACCACTAGAAGAAATGATAACTATGGGATGTGATAAAAGGGCTTGCTGATGGCTACAATGGTAATCATATGCAAACATATATATCAAATTACTGCGCTGTATACTTTTAATTTACGGAATGTTAAATGTATTTCAATAAAAATGAGTACAATATTTAACTGATAAGAAAATAATTTATAGATGGACTGCAATGTCACTTTTATTTCTATCAAAGGATATAAAAATATTTGCATCAATAGTGAACAGTCAACATTTAAAATTAAAATAATTGTATTGTTGACAATGCTTTGAAGTAACTCATGTTCACACATATTATGTAGTAGTAAAATAATATACAGGGGAAAGGTCTTCATAAACATAAGACAGGCATAAAACTACATATGATTTGAAAGTTTTCTTCCTAATTACAAGTAATAACATACAAAGTATGTCATTTACGTATTATTTCTTCAGATGAAACATACCTGGGGGTGGGGGGGGACACTCATTGCATAAAGTTCAGTTTGCATTAAAAAAATCTGAAACTCCCATGGATATGCATTTTTTGTCAAGCATAGCAGTCACAAACAAGCCAACCTTGTAATAACAAAAAAGCCTTAAATGTGATATAAATTCTTTGTACAAAATAGTAAAGTCATTGAAAAGTCCTCTCCCCAAAAATAAATTGTAAACAGAGACTGTAGTCAATGATCTCTGGATTTACCAATCCTATTTCATGTCATATTTTATATTATAGAACATAGAAACTGGAGCTCTAAGTATATACTAGAAAATTAAATTTTTTTAAATAGTTGGAAAAAAATAATTACAGAAGAAAAACGAAAAACAAGTCATCTTGCATAGCTGATGCAGATTCACAGAATCCTACAATGTTTTGTTCATGAAAAAGCCTTGCATATCTCTATATACCTATTAGCTCAATAGTGAGTTTGTGCCTTTTGTACAGCTATAAAAATGTGAGAACACCCAATTTGTTCTTGTGGCCCTAGTGTTAGGGACACTAACAAGACAGAGGAAACATAACAGAGACTTTTTTATTTTAAAGGGTACATTAACAATTTAAAGAATTCTCAGGCATCCAATTATGTATTTTTTTATTAATTACCTGTGGGATAATGACTCTATGTAAATGTGTGCAGTTGGAGTGCCAGAAGGTAGAGGGAAGACAAAGTTGAGGGAAAAGGGGAATAAAAATAACCAGAGACTTCTCATCAGTTAAGTTAAAGCGCATATTGTAAATTTTAGAGCAGTCATAATATAAATAAAAGAAATATATAGTAAGAAGAGAAAAAAATGGAATAAACATATCTTATACAAGAGAAGGCAGAAAAAGAGGAAAAAGGAATAGAACAGACAGGATAAACAGAAAACAGCAAACAAAACATTTAAAATAAACCATATCCTTATTAAATACAAATAAACCCAAATTTAAAAAGCAGAGATTGTTAGACAAGTTTTAAAAAACAGAAAACCAAGACCAAATTATATACTACATGGCTAAAATTTGAAACAGTCCAAATGTTCAAGATGAATGCAGAAACAAATTGCTATAATCATACAATGGACTACTACTCAGCAATAACAATGACTCAACTACTGACATAGTTAACAACAAGGGTAAACTTCAGAATGATGTTCCAAGCAAAAGACCACACACACACAAATGCCAGATGATTCTATTTTCATACAGTAATAGAACATTCACAACTATTCTACAGTGAGAAAAATCAGATTCACAGTTTCCTGGGGAAGAATATAGGGGTGCATAAGGAAGAATGACAAAAGTTTCTGGGTTATAGAATATTTTACTTCATGTTGGGAAGAGAAACATCATTGAGCTGTATGCTTGAAATGGGAGAATTCATTGTATCTTATGTAGATCATAATTTAATTCAGAAAGAATATTAAATTAGAAATCAATAAAAATATATCCAGAAATGTTCTAAAAATTAGAAATTAAACAATGTATTTTATAGTATTAAAAGGTGGTTTCCTGGATGTTTAAGTACATACATACAGCTTAATTTAGAGTTTATAAGCTTAAACTTGTAATTAATAACAATGTGAAGAGTAATTAGTAACTTAAACGGTCTACATTTCTACACACACACATACACGCAATCACGTATCTAAACACACACCATAAAAATAATTACCAATTGAAGCTGAGTACATTTGTTTCATGTGAGTTTCAATGACAGAAGGATCCCGAGAGCTGTAAATTCCCAACTCAGGGTAAAAGCTGGAGCCAATGTCATCCGGGGGACTGTGTTTCCCTTGTGGATAATTCTTGGTTAGTCTAGGGTCCCAATGCTTCAGGATTGGATGGTTCCAATGTATATATTTACCATCAAATTGTGGATTTCCATACCAACTGTAATAAAATACATGTAAATAATAATTCAGAGGTTGCAGCTCTTCCAGGTAAGGTTCAGAGGCTTTGGAAGGCTTCATAGTGATTTCAACACTTTTTAAATTCTTGTTATTTGTTTCACTGTTGATTTTGTCATTGTTTTGGGAATCAAAGCTTTTCCCTAAGCGAGTTTGTTGATGAAGTACTGGAAGAAGTTCAAGTCCAAAAGGATCTCCGAAAGTAGCTTTATTTGGTCTCAGCATTTTTAAACCCATCATCAGGGAGAAAATAAATAGAATAAAAAGTGACAAAATGATGCAAGTCCTTCTTCGAAACTTTGCCATGATGACATACTTTAAACTCCAAAATGGTAAATGTTTAGCTGTAATTTGTTGAAAAATGGTAATTAGTAAATGGTATTGACAATATTTCCCAATGTATTCGAAATGAAAACTAAAATCCATAAAGTTCATTACATTGAAAAGTTTTAAAAGTGCAATATGTTAGTTCTATCATCAAATACTGATGTGTACAAAATCTATATATGGCTAGACTAAATAGCAGTATTTTATTTGGAAATAGCAATTATATCTTGTCAGATAAACATCTTAGGAATTTTATTTAAGAAAGTATTTTGCATCATTCGAACAGATTTTGTGTATGCTGAATATAGGAAGGAAATATTCTATGCAAGTGGACTAAAACTTTCCAAATATAAAATTAAAGGCTCACAGTTTAAAAAAGGAAATACTTATGAATGGATTAAAAGCCTCGTCAGTAAGTGGATTTTCAACAAACTTTTTTTTAACTAAAATAATGATTGCACAAGAAGGGAGTAATCACACATATTATTTCATTTCTGAAATGAAAAGAATGAGAAATAAAAGAAGAATGATCACAAGGGAGGGGTTTCTAATTTAAAAATATATTACTTTATAACTTTGAACACCTTATTGAACAAAGATTATAAACACAGACTTATAACTTCTAAAATGGTATTGTGTATGTATTTTTATGTTTCAGTAACTGTATACACATATATGTGTAATGTGTATATATGTACATAGGTATATATACATACATAGGAATAAAATGTCTTTACAAATTTATTAGAAAGGTATTTGGGGAAAAATTGACATTGACTTTATTTATAAAATATGACTTTTTATAATAAACCATACTGTTGTTATTCTAGAGAATTAAGTTACAATAAACTAACCCTAATAGAAAAGACAGATAAGTAAAACTTAATCTAACCAGCAAGTAATTCTGTCTCACACACACAAACCCTCTCTACAAATTGCTACTTCCATTATGCATATATGCAAGAATTACTAAGATGAGCAAGCATATTTCTTTTAAGACTAAAATCACAGATTCCTCTCAAAGTTAACCTTAATTGTGAAATACATTACACCTAAAGATCAATATAAAAGACATGTCTAGGTTGAAACACAAACATTCAAAAAGGAAAGTGCCAGTTTAAATGCTCATTTCCATCTTTTGGGCCCTTTGCCAATCACCAGCCCTGCCCCTTCTCCTTAAGAAGGACTTGACTTTTGTATTTACCATCCCCTCACCTTTCTTTGTAGTTTTTCCAAAACATAAACATACCTAACCAATCTTAATTTTGTTTTGCCAGTTTCAAAATTTTAAGTAATTATATACACATTAATATGCATATTAATCTCCTACATAGATTTTTGTATGCTTTACATATACTTAGATATGCTATACATATGTATAATTATATATAATTTGATATACATAAAATATACAAAAATATTGGGGAACAACATTATTAAACCTTCTCTGACACTTTACTTTGTGTCTTACCTCTTTCCCATCCCTGCATTCCATCACATCAGTTCTTCCACTCCCATACAAAAAACCATGAAAATGGAAAGGCGTGGGTAGATAGATCTGGAGAATTTTATTTTACAACTGTATTAATCCACTGGTTTGATGAAAATGTTTTCATGTCAAGTATTCTCCTTCTTAAACTTTGGAAATAAAAAGTAGCCCTTTCTCTATTGTTCCTTAGACTCTAATTTAGTGACCCCCCAAAGTTATTATATTTTATTATTAAATGGAGACATTGTGATCACACCAACAAACTAGACTCATTTAAGTTTGTCATATAGCCAATCGTTAACATTACACATAAACTAAAACAAGCATTATGAAAGTAGACATAGTTTAAGATGAGAAACCGTTAAGTCCCTACTGTTGTTTTTCAACAAACAAAAATTTCATTTGGTTGAAATACCAAAAAAAGTCTAGAAAACTAAAAAGATGTATAACTCAATTGAGCAACTCAATTGTGTAAAAACTAGTATGCTAAGCGCCACATGAAATAGACGGATTAGATAGATTAGTAAAACATAGTTCTTATGTTCAAGGTACTTAAGAGTCCACGAGGAAGGCAGAAGACGCACGCAAGTAACTATAATTCAAAGAAGAAAAGTGCCAACAGAGAAGTGAAAGGCATATATAAAGCAATAAAATGCTTATATAAATTAAGGAGTTGAAGAAAATGCTTTAGGAAAAAAATAGTAAGAGCTTAGAAGAATGAGTACACTATGCATAGGCTGGTGGAAAAGGAAAGGAAAAAGAGATGGCCATAGTGTCGGAGAAAGTGTGCCCAAATATATGTTTTCTGGACATGAAAGACACATTGTGAAACAAAAAAGCCTCTGCAGGCCACATGCAGCCAAGAAAACAAGAGGAGGAGGAAAAATAAAGCTGTAGTGCCATGCTGAAACCATCCTGTACCAAACAAAGAGGACTTTTCCAGTAAAGAGGGGATCACTGAAGACTTGTAACAAAATATTGGCATAATGAAAGTTCAGAGTAGAAGGATGGAGCACTTATAAAAAATATTCAAGACATCAAACTTCACCATTTGCTCAATCTAATAATCTCCCATTCATAATAATTTTAACATAACTCTCTTCCCACATTACTATTTTTAGTGACTCTACCAACATGGATGATCCATCCAGTAGTTTAGTCTCCCAATTCTTTGCCTCACTTCTACAGATCTGTTCTTCCACCCCCACTTCACCAACTGAGGTATCATACTCCTACTATTGATCCTGTCTTTTAAATCTTTTACCACTCCAAAATCTTTTTTTTTTTCCATTTTCTAAACATAACCTCTTGCGCTTTGAGCCCATCTAGTTTAGTAGTCTCATTCTGGTAATTTCTTGACATTGAGATGTCCTATCTACTTAGTCCACTGTTTCTGCTATTTTTCCTGTTCTTCATGTTTTGCCTCTAGTGACATAGTTCATCCTCCATAATCCAACATTTTAATTCCTCACTTCTCTCCTTTCTTGATACATACCTGGTAAAACTTCAAATAAATGACGTGTGTCTTGACTTTGATTCAGAACTACGGAACTATACTGGACAAAAACACGCAACCAGGCTGATTTTTCACTATGAATTCATGGCCATAAATTTCAAATGAACACTCAAGACCGCTTAACTATCCCATTACCATACTCTAGTATGTTCACTTTTCTAACCTCAGAATGTCATTTTCATATTTTTCATCAAACCTACTGCTATGTCACCAACTCCCTTTATTATCTTCAGATAGCTATGTCTTATACAGTTGACCCTTCAACAATGTGGGTTTGAACGGTGCAGATTCATTTATATGTGGATTTTTTTTCCATAAATATGGTACAGTAGTAAAAACGCATTTTCTCTTATGATTTTCTTAATACCATTTCTTTTCTCTAGCTTACTTTATTGTAAGAATACAGATATAATATGTAGGGTATACAAAACATACGTTAATGAACTGTTTGTTATCAGTAGGCTTCCAGTCAACAGTGGGTAATTAGTTGTTAAATTTTTCCAGTCAAAAGTTATATGCAGATTTCCAACTGCACAGGAGTCAGTACCCTTAACCTCCAGTGCTCAAGGGTGAACAGTACTTCATAGAGAAAAAAGAAACAGTCATACAGGAACTCCCTTATCTTCCCATTAAGAAATTAACTAAGCTACTGGCATCAACTTTTGTCAGCAAATGTTTCCAATTATAATATTTGTTGTTTCACTTTTTCTTCTATAGAAAATTTTATTTTGTTGAATTTTGCTCAATTTTTTCAACTGCATTTTCTCTAAGTTTCTTTACCCTCTTTCTCGTAAGGCCTGATCTGTTGTGTTTATCTTGTAGTCATTTATGAAATAATTAGCTCTTTTACTTTTCATAGTTGTAATTTGCTTATTCATTCATATCTCATAACGATTTTATTTCTTTGTAAATATTAGGCTACAGTAGTCCTATTTTGTGAACATGTCTCTCTGGCATGCCTTCAGTGTTTACAAGTATGTTGAACTTTTTTGCCTATACTGACTTTGTATGGGATTTGACTTATCTTTTTCTGTTACTAAATATTACATGAAATAATTTTCTCTCAATTTTTAGGAGTGTTTTATTGTGATAGTTTTTCTAGCTTCATGCATTAGAGAGAACTTCTATTGTTTTTGTGAAATCTTACTATGGCCTCGAATTTTTTTCTGATATCAGCTGGGTTTTTCTCCATTCCCACATTTATCTGGATGTTTTTATTTCCTTGGCTTCTATTTTGTTATTCTGCTCCATTTGAAAGTTATTTCCAGAAGTTACTCTTCTATATGTGGTTTTGTCCTGAAAACCAAGATGCTCTAGCCTCTTCAGATAGAAGACTTCAAAGTTCCCCTCGCCCCTTGCAGCTATTATTCTCAGACTGGGCTGTCCTTCTTTCAAATTAACATCTATGTTATATTTAATATATTCTACATATAGAATATCTATATTTATTCCTGTTATCAGTTGAAGCTGATGCACTATTTCTTCTCCTTCCTCCAGCACAAACCAAGTTAGAATACAAGTCTTATGGCTGTTAGTGAGCTGTCCCCTTCCACTCATACCTTGGGGTCCATGGGGATAACTAGTCATTTCAGTTTTGTTACAGATATTTGTTTTAGTTTTACTATTTAATGGTCTGTTTTTAGGATTTCAGAATGATTCAAACACTATACCACTGCTGTTGCCATCACATCTTTAGCAGAATCTTATGAGTTTTGCACCCCTGTATTTTTATGACCACTTAGTTCAAAATATATTCAAATTTCCATTATTTGTCCTCCAATGACTATTTATAAATGTACTATATTTGGGAGACTTTCTCATTTTATTGTTGTTGATTTATAGTGTGAATCCACTGAAAACATCCCCTGTATGATTTCAGTCCTTTGAAATATGTTGAGACTTGTTTTAAGGCTTAACCTATAACCAATTCTGTTAAGTGTCCCATATACACCTCAAAAGGATACATATTCCACAGCTAGTGGTTACAGGTATCTACATGTGTCTACCAAACC